ATAAACTTTAATACCTTTTTTTACAAAAAGCTATTTACTTTTTTAAATATATTTATTTTTTTTATAAAGGTGTAGTAATTACTATAAATAATAATTTTATACTACTTTTTTTTATTAAGTAACTATAAAATAAGCAGTTTTTTTTTATAAAAAAAACAAGACTACTGATAAAACTTATTAATAAATTACTTTTTTAAAAGTTTTTTATAAATTTTATAAATAAGTTATTTTATTTTTTTAACTTTTTTAATTTATATAGCTTACAGGCGTAGCTTATTTAGGCTAAGTTTTTTAAGTAAATAAGTATTTTTTTAATTACTTGTAAATAGTCCTAACTATTATTTTTTTTATAAAAATATATTAAACTTTAAATTACTATTTTTAAATTTTTTTTTATAATTATAAATAAGTTTGCTTATAAAAAGTAAATAAGTTTTTTTAAATAATTTTATAAAAGGTTAATTTTAATTACTATAAAAATACTTAAGTAACTTGTGGTATAAATATAGGTTACTTTTAATAAATTAAATATATTAATAAGTATTAAAATTATAAGGTTTTTAGTCTTAGGGATTTATAAATAGTATAATAAGGTATAATATACCTAAAAAAAGGTTTATAAATAATAATTTTAAAAAAAATAAAAATATTAAAATTAATATTAAGGTTTAAATTTTTGGCCTTGTAAAGGCTAAATATTCTTAGTATATACTAAGTTAGTACCTAAAGGCTAACTTAGCTATTTGCAAGTAAAGCTATCTATGGATATTTCTAAGTCTTGTAAAAGGGCTATATATGCTATAATAGGCCTTACACTAGGGTATCAAATAGTATTTTTGCTTTTAGATAAAGTTAAATAGTTTTGTTTAAAGAATAAACTTAATAGCAAAAACGTAAATCTTATTTATAGTTTTAATTAAGCCTTTAAGCAAGCATGGACCCTTTATGCTCTAGTAAATCCTAAAAAACTAATAGCTAATATTAAATTATAGTTAGTAGGTGAGTTTATAAAAAAGTATTTAATAAAATAAGTTTATATTTAGTTTAGGGCTATTTACTTTTAGCAAGTATATAGTTTTTACTAGGTTAAAGCATTTTACTATTATACTTTTTTATATAATTTTTAATATTTATTTTATACCCTTAATATAGCTTCCAATTTTAACCTATATTATAACTATTTTAAAAATTTTAAAAATAAAAAATATAACAAGATAGCCCTGTTTACTTAGGTAAAGTAGCTAAAAGTAAAAAGTTTTTATAAAATACTTTTACTACATCACGCTACTTTTACTTTAGTAAATAATAAGCTTAAAGAGTTTTTTATAACCTATATTAATAATAATATTAGCTAGGACCATGTTGCTAACTCCAAAGCTATATTTTTATATTTAATAGCTTATAAGCTTAAGCCCTTAAGCACTTGGTATTTACTTAAAAATATCCTAAATAGTAACTCCTAAAAAATAGCTTATAATTTTAATAGGTATACCCTGCTTAAAGCGCTGCGGGAGGATTTAAAACTATGTAAACTTAAAAGGAAGTTAATACAAGGAACTTAAACCTATTAAACTACTTTAAAGGGTACCCTAACACGGCAGTATTATGTCTTTTTTTATTATTTAAACTAGATACTTCAAGGCTTAGTAATGCATGCCTTTAATACAGGTGTATATATAAAAAGTGCCTAAAAAGTTTATATTTACCTAAATAAGCAGTGCTTTAATATTTTAGGGCAAGATAATATATAACCTTATTTAAAAGGGAATTAGTAATAGTAGCTTTTAGGTAAAGAATAATAACTACTTTTTTATATACCTTAATTATAATATGCGTAGGAACCTTAAAACTAACAAGTTTTTTTAAAAAAGGTTTATAAATATTTTTTAAATTACTATTAAATATTTTAAGGCAAACAAAGTTTTAACTATAAAAAGTTTAAAATAATACTATAATAATTAAAGCAAGTAGCCACTGGATACTAAAAACTACTTATAATATAATAGGATAGTAATAGGCTATTAGGTAGTGCTTTAGTATATATTTAATATTATAAAAAAAAGGATAAGAAAGCAGGCAATAGGGAGTGTTAACTTATATTAAAAAAGGCATGGTTAGACTTACCAACCTGCAGAAATAACTATAAATTTAAATTTATTGCCAAGGCATGTGGTTACAGTAGCGATGATTTTATTTTATTACCAATGTGGTAGAGAAAGTAGGATATCTGTTATTTAATCCTTACATTTGAGAGTATACCTGCGACCGTCTTCACAATCTCCAGACAGGCTTTTCGGAGCAAAGCTACTCACGTCACTTAAATCCTTGTCCTGGGAGATACTACTTGAGGTTTTCGAGCAGGTATTCGATGCAATACATCATTACTGTGACCTTGGCTCTAGCTAACGCAAACTCCCGGTTATGTTCCGAGGATCTATGGAGAGTCTTCCGACAAGGCATTAAGGCCTCTGAAGAAATACCAGATGTTACTGTAGTTATGCAATACTCTGATTGATTGACATCATACCCAGATATCTGCTAACATTTTCCTTTCTTTTCCCCTTCCCATGCTGTGCATGGATCCCAGGAGTTGTTGGTGCTGTTCCTAGGCCCCTGGCTTTTACTTCCACATTGAGCGGAAGATGGCTTTCTCCAAGGGTGGGACTCTGTCCAGGAGTTGTTGAAAGTTGGCGTCCTATATTAAGGTTTCCACATTTCATATAGTGTAATCTCGCAAGATATTTTGCATGTTTTTTATGTATTTACTGTCCTTAAATATAAACTCCAGTAATTAAACTATGTCCCTAGTTTTTTTTTAAAAAGGGTGTAGTTAGCTAGTAAATAAAGAAGCTAGAAAAGGGACCAAGCATATAAAAGTACCTAGTTAGTTTAAAAGCCCACACAATACACTTTTGCGTGGCTAAGGAAAATTTCCGCATAATTTACTTGTAAATTATTATTTATTACTTTCTCTTCGCACGGTAGCTCCTAGCCCAGCCGTGAAGAAATAGTAGCATATATACTACAAAGCCTGTTAAAATAAAAAATATTTTTTGTAAGGCTTGCTGGATCCTATCTTAGTTAAATATTATGGGATGGTATCTTGCTTTTTAGGGGGCTAGAAATTGGTAAAGGGACAGAGTAATCCCCTGTATATATAAATTTATAGTAACGGCCAAAAATAATTTTATTAATTTCACTATTTAAGGGCGGCTTAAGTATTTTTTTTAGGAAAGATCTTGCTAGTGCCGCATGTATTAAAAGACACTTTTAGTCTTTGCTAATAACTAACTTAACAATGCCTGACTGCAGCAGCCTGGACTCTTCAGCTGTATGGAAGAGTCTGGGTAATAGGAGAGACCTACATATGATACTCAAGCTGCATTTCCATACGTTATGTCAGCGGTAATAGGGTTCATTCAGCTGAGTGGTGGCGATGATTGACAAAAGTACTGTATTCACAGGTGCAATATATGAAGAATCAAAGAGCGCGTCTGTGGGCTATAACTTGATGGTCCAGCTGCTTCCCCAGCGAGCAATTTGTTTCGGCTACGACAGCCTGTAGGGTAATCGAATCATTGTTCGCCGCATTGAAGTGGCCCCACCTTGAGGCTCGGCTTCCCCAAGGAAACACACCCATATAGTATCATTAAGCGGAAGCCCCAGTGAGGTAAGCTGAGCTCCCTGGGGCATCCTCACAATATGAGACCTTAGCGAATATCATGGCAACAAACTATATAAAGCTAATCGAACCCGCTTCAACTATGTACTGCTCATATGAGGAACTTCTGCCCCTCTTGACTCCGATCATGGCGCCATGCAACAACCGGTAGGCGTAAATTAATTCCTTGGGTGATAGACAACTAACTAAAACACAGAGCATTCCTTTCCAAGCTCCTGAAATTTACCGTGGGCACTAACTGCGAGGAAGTTTTTATTTATAGCCACATACTTTAATTATATTTAACGCCCTGGTTCAACGCCGATTCTGGTAGTTTTACAGGTAATAAATCTATCATTTTTAAGGATGCGGATGTGCATATATTTAGCCTTATTTATTAGTACTTATACACTAGAGACTACTCCCTCACGCTTCCCAATAATACACCACCCCCTAACCTAATTTTGGGTGCACGAGAAAAGTTGAAGCAGAACCACGTAATTCTAGAGGGAGATCTCTTTAGAAATATAGAAACAGTGGAAAAATTTGCAAACTACCTTGTAAGGTAGATCCAGCCCCGGCCCTCTAAGGGCTTGCAAGCTAGCTATAATTTAAAAGCAAATTATACTAAAATACTTCTTACCCATGCTTGCCTTTATATTTTTACGGTAAAATATAAATTATAAAAGCTGCGTGATATCTGCCTGTTTAAGCTACTATATCTCTTGCATATTTTCCTAATATATTAAAAACAAGTAAAAGATATTATTTAGCTATTTAACTTCGCCCTCGAGATAAACACTAAATAATATAAAAGCCTAATAATAATATTACGTGTTTACGCTGCTTGGTATATTAAATTATTTCTGGCCAACAGAAAGTTCCAGATACTTGTTTAAGAACGGCCTACTCTGGCTAATATTCTGCTTAACACACTCGGTGACTGTCTTTGACGATGCATTCGTGAAGAGGTAACCTGTTAGCTCAAGGTTCGATGATTGATGCCTTGTGTTCAAGACCTGCGCTACACATGAACCAAAGAATCTCGCGATTATTTAGTACGTACATAGATAAGTGACATAGTTATTCACTGACTTCCTCTTGCCCGTAGATTATATCGTGACTTTATCACCTGGTTAGTCTGGCGAGCGTTGATGCGGGCATTGCCAGTTATTTTTGCAAGACCGCAATTGTTCGAGGATGACCTGGGTACTGAGGTTGGATTTCTGGAGGGGTGACTATGCTAAGAGCCTAAACTGCGAGAATCTCTCAAGCTTCTGGAATAGATGGCCTAGAGGTTACTCCTTTTCCTGCCGGGAAATTCAGGAATAATCTTATCCTAAGTATATTTATCCTGCTTTAGTCTCACAAGCTGCTGCTTTTGTTTAAGTGAGAGGGGCCCACAAGCAGGCGCGGGAGGGCTCGGCTTCCGTGCGGAATTATTGACTAGTGGTCCATTAGTAGGCCCCTGGAAGAATATAAGGGACTGCGTAAGGTTCCCATTATCAACACGAAAACTAGAATATCCAACAAAGATTGGAACTTGCTCTGCGTCCCGAAGGTCAATTGACAGAGTTGTTCCATCCAGACGCCACGGACCGTTGGTTAATGAAGGGTGGTAACTCCAATCACGTCGATCGGGAGATGTACTTGCAATCGAAGGCCGGCTCACTGCTGCTACAGGGCGGCTTGGGATCTCCACATGCGAGAATTTGGCAAACGTCTTCTGGCAACTTGGATAGGGGGAGGTTCGTGGAGGGGACCGCGCGGGTGTTGGCTCATTAGATGTGAAACGCGCTTCCCCAAGAAGTTGCTCCGCACTGGCATGGCCTTGTGCACCTGTTTCCGGGCATGCCCTGGTAAGAGCAATGGGCGACACTCGAGTTGATTCAGGTATGACCCCTGCAATAATGGGGACGCGGCCTTCCCTCTCCTTATCCACAAGTGGCTGCCGGGGCGTTGTAATTGTATTGTCAAGGTCCGAAAGACAAATCTCCTCTGCGGGGGCGATAGGACAAGTTTCGGAATCACGTATGGAACCATGGGCATTCTCAACAGGACTATCACGGCCATTTGAATAGTGAGGGGAGCCAAAGCCTGAGCTTTCCGTCAATGCCGGACTGCTGATTCCAGTGCGTGGGCCAAAATCTGAAGCAGACCTATCAATGAATTGACCAATGCTAGTTCTTTCATCGGCATCTATTCGCGTCTCATCGTCGTTCAAACTTGAGTACTGATCATCACTCTCCCAAATGGAGGCTGATTCGCCGAAATTCGTTGGGTCATGGCCAGTAATGTGGTCGTCCGCGATCACAGCATCACGGGAACGCAGTTCCGGTGAAGGGGACAGATTCAAACAGTATGTGGCTAAGTCTGGCCCTGATGCAACACCCTCTGAAAGCTGGGAGTCGCGAATGGACTCCTGTCCATCAAAACAAGAATTGGGTTGGGTTATGCATATATCCTCATTTCTAGGTGCTAGTCCATCATTAACAAAGGGAGACTGCGTATTTCGGGGGGATAAAGGTGAAGTCAATTCATTAACTTCCAAAGATCCGGCACCAGCACCTAGGTTAGATCCCAAAAAAAGGCTGCGAAGCGATTCAACATCACTGATATCATGTTTGCTGAAAGTTTCATCCTCTTGATTGGGCGCTTTGGTACTTCTAAGAGCAGCTGTAGAAGGGGCTGTAGCATCCAATATTAGCAAATTTCTAGGACCGGGATTTTTTTTTTTACATACCAGGTCCTACAGACTGCACGTTATGGATATTGCGAACACTAGACTGCTCAGGGCAAATGGAAGAAGTGGACCCGTGATTTACTTTGCCATCGTGGTCTGGGTTCAATGCAGACTGTTTTTTAACAAGCAAAACCAACTCCCGTTTGCTAAAACGTGCCTTTTTGGAGTAACGGGAGGGGTTCGAATTCGGGTTGTAAGAAAGAAAGGTGCTCATTTTGGGTGACCGCTATAAATGTAGACAGGCGAGTAACTGTGCTGGTTGACGGCCAGTGGGAAGAACGAACGGATCCTTTGAGAATAGCCTCTTATAAAGCATAATCCAGTATCTTCGAGATAATAACGTTGACACACATTCCGCTTGTTTATATCTGATATAGCCCGCATTGCCTATACAACTCCACGTCACCGCGGCAAGACTCCCGCCGAACGATCCGTCGGTACTTCCAAAATGAGGAAGTCGTCACCGTAGGAGTAGGACATGGGATGTGGCGGAGTTGCGGCCCCTCTAGGCCCACTTGCGTTGCCAAATATGCCAGGATTGTAGGAACAGCGGGTGTTACCTGGGTGGCCGAGGGCTGGACTTCGAGGAGAAGTCTCGTGAAAGTATCCACCAGTAGGTCGCTTAGACGGCTTCGAAGCGAATTCAGTCACCAAGTCGCCCAAGCCGCAGACTCTGGTAGGAGTTTGTGGTGAATCCTAGTCTAATTTTAGCCGGGGCAGATTTATGGTAGAAATCTAGGCTGACTAGAACCGGGAAATCGCCAAAAATGGCGATTGCTCGGGAGACGTGGTTGCATTTGCCTGTCCGGAGCTAAAAATGGCCCAACTAGGCAAGAACCAGTCAGCCCCATGTTGCAATCCAAAGCATGATCCGTGTCCGTGTGATCACTTCCAGGCTATTTCCCGTCATCACACGGACAGGATGCTCCACCGAGCAAGGCCTGTGCCAGAAAAGCGGCACTTGGCCGTCACAATCTGAATCGCTCGACCGGCCGAGCTGAACGCGACCAGCCGTGCGTGGGGGATCCAGCACCAATCCCCGGGTAGGAA